TGGACTCCATTGGGCCTCAACAATGAGGTGTAGCCTGAACCCATCTAGGCATAGTGAGCACACGGTATACTTCTAAATCAACCTTTCAGCTTAGGAAGAACCTAAACAACAGCTTTGAAGCAAAAAGCAAATAGTATATGTTGGAACACTTGGAATAGACAAAAACACAATAGCTTGCAGGTGTGCTGTAGTGGTTATGGTGTCCAGTGACACCACTCCCTGCCTCTACTACTGGACGCAGATCATTGCTCATGACTGAGAGTGATCAGCTGATGCTTTCATGAGCTAGCCCTGCATTATTGCCACTAAGGTGTTCTGTAGTAGTTATGGAACTCGGAGTGTTTCTTAAACATAAAAATGTCAACATGTCAACATGTTTTATTTTGAACTGTTTACATTAACAATATAAATATATAATTTTTATCTGTAAAGCTTATGTCTTCTTTGCAAATATAAGTTTTTAGAATGTATTTCTTGATGGTCCTGGGCTCTCTAGGCAATAGCCACAATGGTCTCTCTAGGCAATTGCAATCCTGAAATCCTGAGGGTTTTTATAACAGGGATATACTTGAGCAATTAACATTAAGATATAAAAGGTCCCATAGACATACATAGAAATATATACTGCTCTAAAGGTTTGCCTTCCGGAAATATATATTTTAAGGAAATTAAGAATTGTATATCCTAATTTTACCTGCACCAAAGGTGAGTTATACCAAAAAGAGAGAATCTAAAGAAAGGGTTAAATCAGTGGGAATCTGCTTTAAAACAATCTTACATTCCATACCTAATTATTCTAACATTTTTGTACAGATTAATATTCTTCTGTAGCATTGCTGAAACAAACTATTACTAAGTAACTAAGTAAAGCTACTGAAGGAAGGTAAGTTTTAAGAAGACTTTTCCTTACATGTAAGAATGTGATGTTTTGATTATTATTTGATGTAATTGAGACATTTCAATGTAATACTTGTCAATGTGTGTGATGTTCAGATATATATATATATATGTTATTTTGCATATTTTTTGAAATATAAAAAAAAAAATCTAATTTGATCAAGTGCCCGTTTTAAATACAGTAACTGCTCTTCACAGGTTAAACTAGTTATAGAAAGGAATATATTGAAATAGTTTGAAAAACACTTAATTTAGTTTGTGATCGATCCAATTCATTTTGGGAACATGCTTTTACATTTCTTTTGTGTGTGAAAGAGTTGCTCAATAAACAAAACCTGGTTGAGAGCTGACCATAAACTATTCTGTCACGGAAATGTTATACTCACTTCAATCAATTTTTATCTTACATTTACTTATCCCTGTCCTTTTGCCCCTCTTTTAAATGTTCCCACTTCCTTACTCATCTGTAAATGATCTTTTGATTGCCAGCACGTCACTTCCGGTTTTCGCGAGTGACATCACTTCCGTTTTCTATGCACAGGAACGCATGTTGGAACGCAATCCCCTGTATGTAGATCCAGCCGTTCGTACTCTGGCAGATAAGTCCACTTATATCTTAGTCTCTCCAGAGCCAGAGAGACTGAGGTAGTCCATTCATAATAAGAAAAAAGTGTATGCAATCTATAAGCAATCTTAAATCCAAGTGATCTCATTTAAAAAGAGGGAAATTAAAGATAAAACAAAACAGAAAATTACTCATCAAGATAAAAACATATAATAAAAGAAATATATACATATTATGCAAAAGAGAAATGTCTCAGCATTAGGACATAAGTCCATTATAACTATGTCTTTCAATATAAAATAAACAAATCAAAGACTATGTCATTTCTTGATTTGGAGAGGTAGTGAGGAGAGGGGAAGATAATACAAAAGAGCTGGCTAAAATAGAGAGTAAATGGATTTTTGATGTTAACACTTTATCTCCTAATGGATTGAATCTTGATTTTGAATTTGTCCATTTTTTATAAAGAGTATATTTTTTATAACGAACATATGTTTTTAAATTGGTAGTTTTTTAATGGTAATATTTAGTTTTTTTAGTAAAAATGTTTTTTTCTTGTAATTGCCTATCTCTTCCTTTGTACCAACTCTTTTAATTCTTAGGTATATGTATGATATGACATAGTCTTTTATTTGTTTATTTTATATTGAAAAACATAGTTATAATGGACTTATGTCCTAATGCTGAGACATTTCTCTTTTGCATAATATGTATATATTTCTTTTATTATATGTTCTTATTTTGATGAGCAATTTTCTGTTTTGTTTTATCTTTAATTTCCCTCCTTTTCAATGAGATCACTTGGATTTAAGATTGCTTATAGATTGCCTACACTTTTTTCTTATTATGAATGGACTACCTCAGTCTCTCTGGCTCTGGAGAGACTAAGATATAAGCGGACTTATCTGCCAGAGTACGAACGGTCGGAACTACATACAGGGGATTGTGTTACAACATGCGTTCCAGCGCATAGAAAACGTAAGTGACGTCACTCGCGAAAAAACGGAAGTGACGCACCGGCAATCAAAAGATCATTTACAGATGAGTGAGGAAGTGGGAACATTTAAAAGTGGACGAAAGAACTTGGAAAACAGCACTTGAAGAAGGCTGATCGCTGAAACGCATCTGCTGACATAGGTTTTATCCTTTGTTTGTTATTTAACATTTACTTGTGGATGACTTACCATTGGGGTGAGTGGATCTCTGGCTTTGTTACCTTATTGTATTTTATGCTGGGTTCCACCCCCATAGTACCCTTTTAAATATATTTCTTTATACAATAGTTTTTTAACCTATTCTAAGTCCACCTTTCATCATTGATATTGGGATCGTTAGCCAGTATTGGCACCCCTGAGCCTGCTAGACAGAGCCTAGTACGGCTCTGGGAAATGTGAGTGCTAGTACTGAGTCTTATTACTTCTTTATATTTTTATACAGTTTACACTGTGTTGTATTTTATGTTTTAGGCATCATCTTGCTATATTTGAACATTACTCTATTCATCTATTATCTGCACTGGGTTTTGTATACATACTGGTATATTGTATATATTGTAAATCGTAATACGTTGTTAATAGTAGTAAATTTGCATTAATAATCAGCATGAATTAAAATAAACAAGTTACTGACCACATACGAAGAGAACCGCTAAGCAGATTTCCCTGAGAACGCCACGGTGGAATGCAAGTTGCGTTTCAATACAATTACTTCTTGGTACGTCATATCCACACATGCGCTCAAGGGAGCCAGATGGCACAGCCCTTGGCTAAGTCCGGGTGCATGCTCGGATCACCCTGACCAACCACACCATATGGGTGATCCACACAGGCAGAACTAAGCATGCGCGCGGACGGTCAAGAAAATCAATTAACATAAGCAACAATAAGCCTAATGGCAAAATTAATTAAAGTGCCAGATACATGGAATAGCAAAAAATATAATTAAATTCAAATATACATGCTCATAAAATGAAAAAACTTGATATTTAATCTCCAAAGTATCCACAAAGCTGTTTATATTTGATAACTAGAAATTACATCAACATTCACTGTCTGTATATTATAAAGGAATATTATAAAGGTATATTCTGCAATACTTCAGTTCTGTCTCTGACATAAGATTTAATTTGGGACAGGTATGGTCTGGCAAGTTGATCTAAAAATGTTGCCAAAGGTAATAATAAAGAATCAATGTCAGCCACTATAGGCCTACCTGGTGGATCTATCAAGGATTTATGTATTTTGGGCAATACATATAAGACAGGCACAATTGGGGAGTTTACCGTAAGAAACTGAAAAAGGTCTTAGAAAATGAAATTATAGACAAAGACCTTTTTCAGTTTCTTACGGTAAACTCCCCAATTGTGCCTGACTTATATGTATCCACCAGGTAGGCCCATAGTGGCTGGCATTGATTCTTTATAGTCACCTTTGGAAAAAATTTTAGATCAACTTGCCAGACCATACCTATCCTAATTAAATCTTATGTCAGAGACACTACTGAAGTATTACAGAAACTAGAGAAGTAGAAAATGCACACAATATTGTCTTGGTTACATTTGATGTTAACAGTTTATATACCTCCATCCCCCAAATGGAAGGTATCTCAGCAATTAATCTTGCACTCCAGAAGTTGGGTTATGTAGAACCTGTATTATCCTTTCTATTGCAGCTGTTGACATTAATCATGAGGGAAAATTACTTTCTATTTAAGGATGATTTTTTCATCCAGAGGAGGGGAACATCGATGGGTTCAAATGTGACTCCCACATATGCCGGCATATATATGGACCCATCCACATGTGTGCTGTATGTTATGTGATTGTTTTAATTTCCCTATATATACTGTGTTAGTTGGTGTATTTGTTAGCTTGATAAAGACCTATATGGTCGAAACGTTGCTGTGGTTCTAATAAAGTGCCTATCTTGAACAAAGGAGTTCCTGGACCTTTTTTTCCTTTATTCTATTACTTTGGGAATCTGGTGTTTGGTTCCGGTACAGTTAAAGCACCCTGGCTCAGACTGATGGGAGTGAGTGCAGATCCCTACACACTCTACAAGGATTGTTAGACGCTCTGTCCTCTGCACCTGTGAGGCAGCATACAGAGATGAGGAGAAATGAAACAATGGTTCTTTTCCTACTCCTTGTTTTCATGTTTGCCCTGTTCCTGATCTGAACTAGATTATGATTATTTTGCTAAATCTATAAAACAGATCATCACATGAAAATCACAATAGAAAAGTTGGGTTAAATATTACTATTTTAAAGCTCCTTACATTTTACCATAGAAATACAGATGTATTTAATTATTAATATACATATAACTTTTTACTTTTTTTTTCAAATTCTCTCCTAGATAAGGAATTTGCTTAAAATGAACCAGACAGAAATAAGAGAATTTCTGCTCCTGGGATTTCAGAATATTCAGATTTTTAACCATGTGCTATTTGTTCTTGTCCTATTAATATACATATTAACACTGATCAGTAACCTGCTAATTATTATATTAGTGGTGAAGGTCTCAAACCTGAAATCTCCCATGTATTTCTTCCTCAGTCAGTTATCCTTGTCTGATATATTGATCACCACAAATATAACTCCAAACATGCTTCAATGTCTCATTACTGGGGGAAACCACATATCCATTAACGGCTGCCTCACTCAACTTGGCTTCCACTGTATATCATCAGGAGCAGAATGTCTTCTTCTCACTGCGATGTCCTATGACCGGTATTTGGCCATCTGTGACCCATTACATTACATTTCTATCATGGATCATAGATGTTGTCTCTTGATGACTATTTGCTCATGGCTGCTAGCATTTATACCAATGACTGTTATTATTTTATTAGTTTCTAACTTACATTTCTGTGGACCCAATATATTTGACCATTATTTCTGTGACTTTGGACCTCTTCTTGAGAAGTCTTGCTCAGAATACACTGTCATTTTAGTTGTAGATTTTGCCTTAGCTGCACCTTATGTTTTATTCCCCTTTTTGTTTATAATTTTCACATATATCTCAATTTGTATCACCATCTTGTCAATCTCTTCCACCACTGGAAGACAGAAAGCCTTTTCTACCTGCAGCTCTCACTTGGCTGTAGTGAGTATGTATTATGGGACAATAATAGCTGTATATATGGCACCCTCAAAAGGCCAGTCAGTCAATGTCAATAAGATTATGTCTCTTCTCTACACACTGGGAACCCCCTTTTTAAACCCAATCATATATAGTCTTAGGAATGAGGAGATTAAGAAAGCTTTCGTGAAATGGACATCAATCAACTCAAAAATGCATTAGAGTTAGCATGGAAACACCATCAAGACATAGCAATGTATCAGTTCAGATTTTATTACATGTTCATAATGTTGTCCTATTACAAATTCGTGTTTCATATGCGCTGTTTCTTGAAGCGTGTTCTCTATTTTTGTTCTGTATTTCTGGCTACCCCTTAAATGGTTGTTGCTTTCTTTTGTACTCTTTGAGATATGTTTCAATTACTCACTTTGCTTGTTTCTTCTGTAGCAGTCTGTTTTTTTGTTTATTTATTTATTTTTCCTTCTTTGTCTCAGGCTGATCCTATTTCTTTTAAATTACTTAAGACTATCAACTTTTTTTGTTG